AAATTAGGCTAATGAAGTTTCAATAATGAAGTGAGTGCACAAAAGGGAAGGAATTGTATGATGCCATTCTTCAAATAGTCTGTTTGAAAGCATGTTTAGTAGACTGTGACAGTAATTGATGATCTATTTTCTCTTCTATTTAACATAAAAAATACTCTTGTTGATGGTGGTAAAAACAGAAATAACAGACTTCTTCTTAATAGCTTTCAGCCAAGTTACCAAATTTTTACCTGAGGATGCAATTTCTGAAATGATTTTGGGTGAGGAAACTTGATTGGTTGCTTTTAGAAAAAGCTCAGTTGCTGCATCAGCTATCACACCTTGATGTTTTGTTATCAGGACTATATTTTCCCACTCATAAAGAATGTGATTGAAAGCCATTGCTATAGTAATTTAGTTATATAAGACAATTGAAAAAACTTCCCGACCCAATTCATCCTTATAAATCAATTTGTTTTAATCTAAAACAGTGCTTAGACTATATTTTTCAGGTTTTCAGATATTCCTAGAGGCATCATTCATTGGAATGTGTAAGTGCCTGATATTTTGTTGTTTGAATTTCTATTAATTTCAGATGCTGCTTGTGCAGCTCCCATGGGTGAAAGTGAATGGAGCTCATATTGCAATGTCAATTCTTTTTCTAATATAAAAAAGTATCAGTCTCAGGTAATTCCAGTGATGCTAACAACATGACCTGCACTAGAATCAAGAATGAAAAGTGATCTTTCTCTAGGCTGCAAAATTGTATAATTGTATAATTTTGTTTTTATATTTTTATATATTTATTCACAATGCATTTTAAAAGTTATTTGGATCTCCTGTTTTTATATAAGATACATTGATTTACTTTAGAAATGTTGACACAGAAAAAAACCAGAAACCAAAGGGACATTTTCAGAAGATGTACACTGATACAAATTCAGAAAAGGAATCACATAACATAGTATTTCAGCAGTTTCTTGAAAGGTAAATATGTCTATATTAAAATCTGTTGTTTTCCATTTGATTGTGATGTGTATGGTTTTTAGTGGCCTGGCATGTCTGTTGTTCTGTTGGTGTAAGTCAGTAAATGGAATGAAAAAAGGGGAGAAGTAGCTCAATTCTGGTCTTGAAAGGCAGTTGTGTTGTCACAAGGACTGATGAGCTGACCTGGCTGCTAGACAGGCCATGTTTGGGGGAAGATGTAGAGATTGCAGTCCCATTAGCCTAGCCCAGCCCAGTATATACTATAGTTGTTAAGGGTCTAAAGTCCAGAGGAAACACCCACCTCCTCAGATGCTGTGTATCTGACCTAAAATTAGAAAAAGAGAAGCAGAGGAGAAAAAGTCTGTACATGGTAAACAGGGTAGATTGAGAGAAAAGTTGGAGAGAGAAATTAAGCATGAAGAGCAATTGTTGATTCCTGATCTGGAAGGGAGAAGATGACTGAGAATCTACATGGACATAAACCTAGGTCACTTCTACACATAGCCATTGGTTTACTGTTCTCTCCAACTGACCAAAATAAAAATGCTAAAAAAAACTTCTGAAAACAAAACAAACATTCAGTCAATGACCCATATTCTTTTTTTTTTAATAAAGTTTTATTGAGTTTTAACAAAACAAATAAAACATCTTATTTGAATACAGCATGGTTCCGGGTTATCACATTTCCATTCAGACACAATTTCATATGCATATTCATCTTATGTATTCAACTTCATATCTTATTACTCTTTTTCCAACTTCTCACTATTTCTCCCTTTACTTCTCTTAATTTTCTTTTATGGTTATCTCATTTTCTTTTTATTCAATTGTATTTCTTTTACCTAAATTTCTATCTTTTTATTCATTGTACTTATACTTTGGTCTGTCTTGTTTACAATTTCATATGTTCTCTTCCAACATTCTTAAGAAGCAAAATTCCCCCTATGATTGCCAATCGAAGTGCAACACCTTTAAATCTTATTGTTATTATCATATGAAATCCCATTAAACATTTAATTTGTGCATTCTAAAATTATAATATTCAAATTTCTAATATCTATTTTATATCATGTAGATCGCATCATTCAGACTCTGCCTGGTACTTCCTCTTGAAAATGTAAAAAGAAAAATTATAAAAACAGCAAAAACAATATATACATATATATAAACATTAGTAAACAAAATAGTTATTCAAGATCATTCTAGTAGTGGTATGAACCTTGTAAATCTTTCACATTTCTTTTCAATACCTAGCAATCTTTGAGAACAATTGAAATGTTTCCTTCCCTTCTTCATTATTACTTAACTGTTAATAAGCATACCATTGGATAGTCATACAGTTTTATCTTATAAATTATTTACTATTAATAAGCAAAATAATTATTCAAATTCATTCTAATAACTAGTATAAATTTCCTTATAAATCTTTCACATTTCTTTTCAATATTTTATCAATCTTTAGAAACAATTGCAATGTTTCCCTCTCTTCTTTATTATTGCATCAATTATAAATAAACATACCATTATATAACAATATAGTTTTATCTCATAGATTATTTACTTATTTCATTTCTAACTCATTACAGTATTCTACTGTCACAACACTATCTTTTGTACCTTTGCAGAATCCTCACTTTTAACTTAATTTAACCATTGTCTCTGTGTTTTCTAGCTGAGCAAATACCTTTAATCCTAGTATGTTTCCCCTTTTTCTTTATTTTCTGTTTTTGTCCCTCATAAGTTCTTTCCTTTTCTATCTTCCCCCCCTTTTCTCATCCCTTTTTTATACCCTTCTCTCTCTAATTTTCCCTTCTGTAGTTTTCTTTTCTGCTTCTCCTTGCTGTTATACTTCTTTTTCAGACTATTTTTCTTTTTGGCTGTTCCCTTTGATATCAAAGTTTTAACTCCTTTCCCCCCCCTTTCCCCTTATTACCACACTTTGCATTATTTGATCATTGAAAATGGCTTCTTCTTTGTCCTGCCCTTCTTCTTGCTCTTGAAGCTTTTCCTTTTGCTTTTCATAGTTCAGGATCTCCATTTCAAAAAATTCAAATATGAAGCCAAAGGATCTTCCTCCCCTTTCTGCATCTTCTTTCTGTTTTTTAAGACTCATCTTCAATTCCTCCAGGAGTGATGGCATTTTAAACACTTTTGAACAACCACCTGATTGACTTTAAGTAAAAACAGAAAAAGAAAGAAAAAACCAATGCCCAAAACTTTTTTTTTAAATCACCAAATGATCCCAGACTGTTCCTTCTTGTTTCTTTCCTTTACTTTTGCTTTCTGTGGGTTATTGTATCTTTTAATAAGATTTCAGTTACAATGTATCCCCGGGAGTCTTTTCAAAGTTTCACTGTTAATCCTCTTTATTTTTCCAGGTGGCACTCCATTTTTCCATTATTCCAAGTCCCACCCTTTTGCCTCCACTCTTCTCCTTTTTAGGCCTTTCAAATGACCAAGAAAAAATCTTTATTCTCCTTTTGACACTTAGATTTCAGCCTATAAGTGTCAAAATAGATTAATATAAATTTCTTTCCATACCATTTGTAATTGTCAATATAAAGGTAAAAAAGGGGTTTTTAACCGCCTTTTCTCTCTCCTTCGCCGCTTAAAGATCTTTCAGAAGTATCCCTCTAGGTACATTTAGATTCAGAGTACCTTGCTTAGATGTTCTCTGTTGTTTTGCCCGGTCTGTCCTGCTTTCCTCTTTGTCTTCCTCCTGCACAATCTTATCCAGTGGGGTTCTTCTTTGAGGTGGCCATTTCTGACCACCGCTGCAACCGCCTGCGGGGAATGGAGTTTAGACCAGCCAAGGAGGAGAGATGTGGATCCCCTTCACTTGGCTAGCAATCTCCCCCCTCTTCACCATCACTACAGGGTGGCTTCAGCCCTGAATCGAAAGGATCGGGACACTCCAGCGGCGAGCACAGATCAAAACCGCGCACGATCGTGGATTTTGGTCTGTCACTGAAAAGACCCAAACCAGAAGTCCAATGACCCATATTCTTGTTCATATTTATATAGTTTATATTTAAATTTATTTATATACAGTGCAATATTTAATTGCACAGTCTGAGTTAGTTACATATCCTTACTTAGGAATTTTCTGAAATATCCCAGCAATTGCAGTAAGTGTGACCAACAAAGCCATTATAAAGGCATTATACCTTTTTAAAAAAAAATGTGTAAAAGCAGGGAAGATAAACCTTTAAAGGGAGAAAGGGGAGTCTGGCCTAAGTCCTGGGAAATGAGATAAGGTGAGGCAGAAGTTCCTACCAATAGGAACTGGCACTCTCACTCTGCTTGAGGGTGATTGTAATTTCCCATTATACTCAAATACAGCTCCAAAGAAATGAGTCAGTTTGGCTGTAAACAAAGGTGATCATGTGGGATTACTCAAGTAATTTGGGTGTATCCTATGTGTATTCATAGTCCTCCTAAGCTTTTACGCCATCCATTAAGATATTACGCAAATGCTACCTATTTTTACCTCTGCTTGCTAGAGGTGCCAACAATGGCAAGTTCTTATTAATTGACAAGCCACAGTAAGATGTCTGCACAAATACAGAATAGAAAAATAGACTTGTATTAAAATGCTGCTGTTAAATATGGCAATGCAGCTTTAAAAGCAAGAGTTACATAGCAAATATCAACATCTTCAGTGTTTTATTCAAAAATAAATGGTACTATTTGGTGGAAGAGCAAATGCTCTTTGAAACTGTGTTTCTCATTCTGCAAGCATTGTACAGTTGAGGGATTACTAGTCTTGAAATTGCTCCCTGTGGATGAGAGGTCTGTTCTCAGACCTGGAACTATCTTCGCTTTAACAGAATAAAGACTCCCTTGAAATATTTGGACTTATGGTTTTTAAGTTCGGAAAAGGGTGAGTTACACATTGGATATAACAGTGATAGGTTAATTGATATTTCTAATGAGGAGTACAGTTTTATCCTGATGAAATATTCCATTGCTATTCCATCAAGTATTGAAGACTTAATGCAAATATTACATGCATGCTTTCCTTTGTTAAAAAGGTGTACCACAGCACTGAATTTGCCCTTTGCTGCAAGGAGATTGTTCACTGAAAAAGGAGTGGAACTCTTTGTTTTGAAAGACTTGGAGAAGGGTCAGCTGGTAAGAAATATAAAAATATATTTGCCAATACTTTCTCCAAAAAATATATTTCCAATAAAATTAGTGTGTAGTAAGTAGTATTAGGTAGTATTTCCTGTCTTTCATTCAATCTATCCATTGGAATATTTAGATTTACTTCCTTCTATTTGGTTCCCATCATTCAGACAAAATTACAGGCCAACAAGCCAGCAAAATCTAGTTATACTATGCGAGCAGATGGACATTACACTGGACTTTTTAAAATAATACCAAGTTTTCTACATTAAATCAACATCAGATCAGAAGCATTACAGAATAATCTGGCATAGATCTGCAATAAGGAATTAGGTGGTGCAAGGATGTGTGCTTCTTTAAGTTTAAGCAATGTAATGGATCTCAGGTTGTGGTTTGGAACCTTTAATGAAGTACGACACACATTAAAATGGGATGCTTGTAAAGGTCTACCTACTATCTTGATATATTTTTTCTTGATATCCATTCCATGGTTGCCTCAGTACCTCCACAAATTTATTTTGCTCTTTATTATATTAAAATTTAGCTCTGGCATTGTTATATTATTATCCACAAATTCATAGTTTTCACTGACTATTACCCTTAACAAAAAAAGAAAAATGAATTATCTGTCCCTGTACTACTTTTGTCACGTGTTTATATATATATATGGTTTTCAGCTTTGTTCGGGTATTTTCCCACGTCATTATAGTTGTGCTTTTAAAGTTGTAGCAACGTTTCGGCAGAATCTCATCTGCCATCATCAGGCTTCTGTAGTGTGTTCGTCTGTGATGAACACACTACAGACGAACACACTACAGAAGCCTGATGATGGCAGATGAGATTCTGCCGAAACGTTGCTACAACTTTAAAAGCACAACTATAATGACATGGGAAAATACCCGAACAAAGCTGAATACCATACATGTAAGTACCCGCGAAAACTTAAGAAAACATATATGTGTGTGTGTGTGTGTGTGTGTGTGTGTATGTGACCTACATTCAGTTCTCATTTTTTACAAACAGCTTTACATATCATGTGGAGAGCAATGGATTGATCCTCTGTGGACTACAGCTCAGCATAAGAAACGTCTCCAATGTAATAATTTAGCATCTGATGTAATGGCTATGCGTGCCTATTGTGCCATGAGGAACCCCAAAAGTGAGCAGATTTCTTTCTTTGTGTTTTTTAAATGTTGTACATAATGACATAAAGCTAATATTAGGCATTTACATCTGAATGGAAATAACTGGCAGACCCCTTTGTCCCATGTTGGGTTTTATGTGAGTCATGCTTGGAATCAGGAAATTATGATGTCAAAGAATAATGCATTAAGCAAGCCCTCCAGAAAACATGAGGAATTCAAATGTTTCCTTCAATTTGTCCATGAAAACATGGTATCCTATGACTTTTGTTCCAGACTTTTTCACTATCTTTCCTCAGGTAGGCTCTGCCTGGGAGATATGGTCTATGCTTCCAGATTCTATTATGGAAAGCCTTACTTTTTAAACTACTTTTTCACTATTGATTCTTTTCCTATGGAAAGACTAATTAAACAAGATGGCAAACTCACTGGTGTTTTCATGACCCATTTGACTAGGTGGAATTAGAATAAACCTTTTGAAAAATGGGTCTGTTGTAGGCAAAATCTAACTTCCATAGAAATTTGATCAATGGTTCAGTTTACAGTACTCTGTTTAGGTATTTAATGATCCAGAAAATTGGTATGGGTGTTTATAGGCTAAATGTCTTAAAATGTTCTTTAATTTTTGCTGGAAATCTGACATTAGATGATATTCTTATATTAATTATAGATAAGAAAACTCATCTGCAACGTTTTAAAGCAAATACGTTTGATTTCATTCTCCAGATTTTGTTTTGCAAGTCAAGGATGATGTTGTTGTTGGTGCCAAACTTTTTGTTGCAAGAGCTATAGTGGAATTTGAAGAAAAAAGAGCTGTTGAAGAACCAGAGAAAGAAAAATGTGAAAAAAGCATTGAAAAAATAAAAGATGACACAGATAAATATCTGTAAGTGGTCCAAAGTAATAATTAGTACAATATTATGAATGGTTACTAATACACTTTTTCAGGCCATTGACATTTTATAATTCTTTTATAAAAAATTAGTTGTTGTATTTATGATAAATACAAATACACTTTCCAATCAGTTCTACAGTGCATGGTATATTATTCCATTATTTCCTCCTTATAATTTGAAAGCACTTAAATTATTTTTGCTTCTTCTCATGATAAATAAGATAAAGTTACACTAAAAAAATATAGTCCTGTTATTTTTAGTGGTTCAAGCATAAATGAGATTTCATGTACCTTTTTTACTATCCAGTAATTTTACTTTGTCCTTTATATCTTGCATGGCTCAAATAAACAGGTAGCCAAAGTTGAAAAATGTATTTTTAATAATATGCAAAGAAATGAAAATCTAAAATATTTGTAGCAATTATACTGTACTTCAGTACAGACACTTCAGACAGTTTAAAGAACTGATTTCTAAGTTCTTCAAATTCCCTTCACATCTAGCTCAAGAACCTGTACTACACATTAGTGTAGTACAAATAGTGGATAACTTCACTAAATTGTGGTATATAATCAAGTTTTTCTTTCTTCCTATACACATCACCCCATAGCAATTATTCCCATGTGGTGGAACTTTGGATTAACTTCCAACTCCAGTAAAGCACTGCAAAGATAGTTTGCAGCTTTTCTTCTGCAGGTACAGGTGAAACTCGAAAAATTAAAATATCGTGCAAAAGTTCATTTATTTCAGGAATGCAACTTAAAAGGTGAAACTAATATATGAGATAGACTCATTACATGCAAAGCAAGATAGTTCAAGCTGTGATTTGTCATAATTGAGATGATTATGGCTTACAGCTCATGAAAACCCCAAATCCACAATCTCAGAAAATTAGAATATTGTGAAAAGGGTCAATATTCTAAGCTCAAAGTGTCCAGTCTAATCAGCTAATTAAGCCATAATACCTGCAAAGGGTTCCTGAGCCTTTAAATGGTCTCTCAGTCTGGTTCAGTAGGAATCACAATCATGGGAAAGACCGCTGACCTGACAGTTGTGCAGAAAACCATCATTGACACCCTCCATAAGGAGGGAAAGCCTCAAAAGGTAATTGCAAAAGAAGTTGGATGTTCCCAAAATGCTGTATCAAAGCACATTAATAGAAAATTATGTGGAAGGGAAAAGTGTGGAAGAAAAAGGTGCACAAGCAGCAGGGATGACCGCAGCCTGGAGAGGATTGTCAGGAAAAGGCCATTCAAAAGTGTTGGGGACTTTCACAAGGAGTGGACTGAGGCTGGAGTCAGTGCATCAAGAGCCACCACACACAGAAGGATACTGGACATGGGCTTCAAATGTCGTATTCTTCTTGTCAAGCTGCTCCTGAACAACAAACAATGTCAGAAGTATCTTACCTGGGCTAAGGAAAAACAGAACTTGTCTGTTACTCAGTGGTCCAAAGTCCTCTTTTCTGATGAGAGCAACTTTTGCATTTCATTTGGAAACCAAGGACCCAGAGTCTGGAGGAAGAATGGAGAGGCACACACTGCAAGATGCTTGAAGTCCAGTGTGAAGTTTTCACAGTCTGTGTTGATTTGGGGAGCCATGTCATCTGCTGCTGTTGGTCCACTGTGCTTCATTAAGTCCAGGGTCAGTGCAGCTGTCTACCAGGAGATTTTGGAGCACTTCATGGTTCCTTCTGCAGATGAGCTTTATGGGGATGCTGAACTTCATTTTCCAGCAGGACTTGGCACCTGCCCACATTGCCAAAAGCACCAAAACCTGGTTCAATGACCATGGGATTACTGTGCTTGATTGTCCAGCAAACTCGCCTGACCTGAACCCCTAGATAATCTGTGGGCCATTGCCAAGAGAAAGATGAGAGACATGAGACCGAACAATGCAAAAGAGCTGAAGGCTGCTATTGAAGCATCCTGATCTTCCATAACACCTCAGCAATGCCACAGGCCGATAGCTTCCATGCCACACCACATTGAGGCAGTAATTGCTGCAAAAGGGGCCCAAACCAAGTACTGAGTACATATGCATGCTTATACTTTTCAGAGGTCCAATATTATTCTCTATACAATCCTTGTTTTATTGATTGCATGTAAAATCCACAATCTGAGATTGTGGATTTGGGGTTTTCATGAGCTGTAAGCCATAATCATCCCAATTATGCCAAATCATGGCTTGAACTATCTTACTTTGCATGTAATGAGTCTATCTCATATATTAGTCTCACCTTTTAAGTTGCATTCCTGAAATAAACGAACTTTTGCACAATATTCTAATTTTTCGAGTTTCACCTGTATTTCTGGATGGGGTGGAAGGAAGTACTTTTCCTTTGAGAGAAATTCCTACTTCTTCAGAGGTCCCCAAAGGTGTGCCTGCTATTTCTGATTGTTCTAAAGAGCAGCTTCTTTGCTCCCTTTCACACAATAGTTGCTTTGTTTTTGTTTTGTTTCTATTTTAAGCAAATTAGCAGAAACCAGAAAAATAACTAATAAGTAGAAGAACAAAGTCTGTCACAGAAAATCAACATAGCTCAGCACTTGCAAAAGTACTCTGAATCCTGCCTCACAAAGCTTCTAGACTTATTTCATCAGCAGGCTTATGGGTGGAACCAATCCTGTTGGACTTTTAAAAAGTTCTGAATAAGTTCTTCAAGACACTTGAATAAACTTAGCAGTCATGGGATTAAGAAGATCTATCTTTCTAAGGACTGTTGTCTGGTGGAAAAAAGGAATAAACGGGCAGATATTTTTTCAGCAAAGAATAATAAGTGATGTTCTTCAACAATCATGCTGGGATCAATGTTTGTAGGTTGTTTGTAACTTGATTTAGGGGACAGCAATGAGATGGCAAGTTTGTAGATGGTACCAAAGTATTCTGGATAGTGGAAACTAAAATTCATTGGGAAGAGGTAAAAAAAAAAGCATTTGTTTTAAACAGGGTGAGTCTAACCAAATTTAAATTTAAGTAAGTATAAACTGATGCATTTTGGAGTAAAAGTGCAACAACAGTATGATCAGTTGGACTGTCTATACATAACCAGGAACAAGTTCTTTCAGTTTATAATGCTTCATTCCTGGACTAGCCCAAGATTACCCCGCTGGCTTGGTGCCTCAGCAGGACTAGAATTCATGGTCTCTTGATCTCTAGGCAGATGTGTGTGTGCATGCGCACATGTGCCTGCACCCATAATGCAATGCACGTGTGACCCCCCCGCCCCCTGTACATGCGCACGCAACTCCCATGCACCACATGCCTCTACGCATGCGTGCATGTCTCCCACGCATGACCTGCATATGCGCGGCAGATACCCAACAATCAGCTGGCTGGTGGGAGGCACACGTGCATGCGCAGTGGACCTGATTCAGGGCAGCGGCTTGTGTACTGGCAGAGATGGCCCTGTGTCCCACTTCTGGCACACGTGCCATAGGTTCGCCATCACAGCCTTAACCATTACACCAAACTGACCCTCATAATAGTGAATATCTCTACTAAATATAATCAAGATATGTGAAATCAAGGTTTTCTTTCTTCCTCTGATCAAGCTGACTGGAAAAAGGAATTTGAATACACAGAATTAGAATACACCTCATGTGTCCTCATGTGATGCAAAATTAAGTTCTGGAATTTATAATGATGGCCACCAACTTGCATAGCTCTAAAATGGATGAGATAAATTAATTAAGAATATGTTTATTGATTATTATTAGCCTCAAAGTTCCTAGCATTGGTATACTTCAGAATACCAGAGAAACACTAGCAGAAGAGAGATGTAGGTCTATTTCCTGCCTGCTGAGACCCCAGAGGCATTTGGTTAGCGATTTAAGAAACAAAATTCTGGTTTAAGATGGGCATTAATAGGGCTATTATGTTCTTAATGAGATTTTAAATAGCCTCATCTCAGCACTGTTCAATGTTATAAATTATCTCCCACTTATATTTAGTACCCACATAATTTTTTTTTAAAAAAGTAAGATCGCTCAAAGTCAAAAGCTACCAGTGGAAGTAGAATAATTCTAACTAAAATAAAAATAAATGGAATGGATTGAACTTTTGGATCTGTGTGCTGGAAGGAGTTCTGAAGTGAAGACATATCATTTTTATGTGCTGAGAGAATATTTTCTTAGAATTCAAGCATATCTGCAGTGTTGACTATGTATTTCCATATTCAGAGATATATTCTGATCCAACAGTATATAATTGGTTTCACTTTCTTGGTAATTTTCTGTAAAACTGTTTTGTGACCCTTCTGCTAGGAACTAGAATACCTTAGAAACATTTTGTTCTTTATTCAACAATGAATTTACCTTCTTTTTCAAAAGATATTTGTATTTTATAGATAACTGCATAAATGTTCATAAATGTTCCATGTATTCATTTTTATTATGACTACATGAAAGAAATGCATTTCATATGGTGGAATTTTTGTTGCTCATCAATGATACAAAAACCTACAATCTGTTTGGCTAAAGTTCACAAAAGGAATGAAAACTAGGATGTATATAATTTGAAAAATGATCAATTAACCTATCAGCATCTCCTTGCCCATTTTCTGTTATTATTTGAGCACTGCCACAGTGGAAGAACGCTGAAGACAGAAAGTAGAATACCAATGAAAATGCCAGTTTATAGTCATATTGCATTAATTCTGTTGCACAATAGATGGCACTGTTGTTTTCTGTAATATTAAAAAAGTTCCCCAGTATTAGAAATAAGCCTTCTAGAAATAATATGCCATTTCTATCTTATAGAAAATAGTTGCTATCTTAGAGATATTAAGACCAGGTTAACGCATGATACTGACCTGATAAAACTTAAAGATTGATTATTACACTGTGGAGGTTATAAGTGGGCATTTTTCTCCAAAGCTCTGGATTTATTTATTTATTTATTAATTTCTCCTCTGCTCATCTCACCTAATGGATGGTCCCTACTGCTTTAACATGCTCTGTTGGGGTGCTTTTCAAAACAACTTGGAAGCTGCAAATAGTGCAGAGTACAACTATCCATGTACACACTAAAACCTGGCCTTAGGAGCACATTATAGTTATACTATAGGTCCTGCACTGGCTATCAATAAGAGACTGGGCACAATTTTAAGTACTAATTTTAACCTATAAAGCCTTCTATGGCTTGGCACCAGTTACCTTCAGGACTGTACTTTCCACCTAGAATAGGCCTACTTACATAATTTTGGGGGAGAAGCAGTTTGGGAGAGGAGGGGGTCAAGGCCAGGGAGCACTGCTTATGGGTGGTTCTTTGGAATGTCCTCCCAGTTGAAATGAAATTGGCTTCCTTCCTCACTGCCTTCTGAAATCAGCTTCTTATCCAAAACTATTGCCATTGTTTTCTTTGCCTTTTTGCAATGGCAGCTATCGTTCCAAGAAGGTTATTTTAGAACAGATTTTGGAGCACATAGATAGGGGAAGGAAGAATGAATAAAGATCTCCTTCTACATTTCAGTTATGGAACCAACTAGTTCATACAACTCCATATCCAATCAATGAAACGAACACAGTTTAAAAGACAAAAGAAGTAAGATGTGGCTTTTAGAAATATTATTCCCATAATGAAGCTTCAGTGTTTTTTTCCAAGCCATCAGGTTTGGAAGATAGGACACATTCATTTAAATTGAAGAAAAGAAGAAAAGGTGTTCTTTTAAATATATAGATTGCAAATCTGTGAATAAAACCACTACAGCTAAGTTGAATACTGTACTGCCTTGCTGGTCAAAAATCCATACCCTAATATTTTGGGGAGGAAAAACACTTATAGCATATTGAAGGCATCAATTGTAATTTGCAGATCGAATGATATCGGGACCACTCATCTCTAATTTATTTTTGTGGAGCAAAAAGAATTGACTACAGAAAGATATTTGGGGACAAATAAGAAAATGCTATTCCTGAATAATGGTACTTGAGATGGATTTATTACAATTAGACTAATTTGTTCTTGTTTTTAATACAGTAATCTGCCTCCAAAGATGAAGGAACATTTAAATGCAGAAATAAATAAACTATATATTTCAATTTTTTAACATTATGGTTTTAAATGTTGTTTTTTAAATGTTGTTTTTAATTCTCTGATGGAGACCTTGGGGCTCCCCGAGCTTGGTTGCTTGCAGACCTTTCATTGCCCAACTAAGTGACATCGCTAGTGCTAATGAGAGTGGGATTTGCTGCTTAATTATCTTCATTAATTTTCAGAGCCACTTTGAGTATGTTTTTAAATTGACAATTAAAGATTTAAATCGTTTATATTTAATATATACTTAATATGTTTAATGTAATAAATATTTAAATATTAAGTGTTTTAAATCAACAATAAAATAGGTATTCATACACAATTAATACAATCAATACATTAATACATCTAGAGATATGTTTATAATATATCTCATGTATATATACCCATACATTTAACAATACATAACTCCCAAAAGAAATGTTCCATACTTATTTCTAGTTGGCATAGTTGATATATGCTTACAATTAATGTTAGAAAAAACATTTTGTGCTACAAGAAGTATCCCACTTTCTGTCTATTCTCCTAGCAAATCCCAGGTTTTCTTTATTTGTGCTTGGATGTAGGTTGCAAAATATGCCTTTCCCCTGCTTGTCTAACGCCTGATTCTGTTTTTTCCAGGCAGAAACCTTGATGCGTTTTAACTAAGAAATATTTCTTTTTGTGAATCAATCAGAGATATACTTTTTTGGGGAGAGGGGCTTGTCATCTTCAACAGATATTGCTCTGAAGAATAATTCAAATCACATAGATTTGCACATAGTTGTAAATCATCATTGTATTCATTTGCACTATTGTTACTGATTCAATTTCACTTCACCCTATTGTTTTCAGCACTCCTTTCCTCTCATCTGTCTTGTGTTATGGGAATAACCTTTAACCCTTCTATGAAGTAAAAATAGTACACGATGGTACATGCGTTACAAAGTTTTGTTATTTTAACATGCAACACCATTATTTTTAATTATAAGTAATTGGGTTTACTAAAGATAGAAGTGTCCTAGAACTTTTCTAGGGCTCCTTCCCTTCCCTTTCTTTCCTTTTTTCAATCCTACTTTTATTGTCTCTCTAAAGTATAAGAGTAAAATCGAGTGCTAATCTAAATGTTCAAGACAAATAATGTAAATAAATGATTTGTGTATGATTGAAAGCACATAGTCTTACAATCTTGTTTGCTGAATTCCATCACTAATAGTCTTAGAAACTATACATAAATAAGTCTTGACTATTAAACTCTTCTTAGATCTATTATTCAAACCACATTGGCCATTGTCTCCCATAGAGTTTATTTGTCATTCATTTCAATGAATTTAAGGTATTTAATTAAATATTTCAGTCCAAGTGTTTATGAAATTCAAATTCTCATTAATAGAATAAATAGTATAATGTTTTATGTTGTTATGCTCTTTTGGGAACTCTGTTTTAATAATTGGCTGAAATCTCTACGGAAAAAAAATTCACTGGTAATAAGTAAGCCTTGGTGGGCCTCTATATCTTTCCAGAAATTCACATATAAAGTCACATTTTAAAACAGAAGCATTTCATAAGACTACAAAATATGCCTGGCAGCAAATTTCCTGTGATGAGGACTACAACATTCAGAAGGAAAAAGATGAGCAGTTTTTTGAAGATGCAGAGTTATACAAAAAATACAGGTCAGTTATAGTGAATTAATTGTATTCCTTTTTAATTCCTTTTTATTATTACAACATTTTAAAATTACACATAATACAATTAAAAGGATACCATCTTTTAATAAGAGGGTATCAACTAAAAGAGTGTTTCTGATATGTCCTTGTATCAAACCTGCCCAGATTATATTAAAGTAAAACTGTGTCCTAGGTTGATAGTAATTTACTTAAAATTACAATGTCAAGTTGAAAGTTAAATGCTTATTATAAAGGTCTCAGCATTATAGGTAGTTCTTGACTTACAACCATCATTTAGTCATCATTCAAACTTACAGTGATGCTGGAAAAACTGACTTATGACCAATTTTCACACTTGCGACCACTACAGCAGCCCCATGGTCACATGATCAAAATTTGGACACTTGCAAACTGGCATTCATTTTGAGAGTTGCACTGCCCTGGGGTAATAAGATCACCATTTGTAACCTTCTCAGCTGGCTTCTAACAAAGTAAAGTTAATGTGGGAAGCCAGATTCACTTAAGGACTATATCATTTACTTAACAACTATAATGATTCACTTAACAACTGCAACAAAAATGTCATAAAATGTGGGAAAACTCATTTTCATTTTAGGCTTTTCATTCCACATCCTCATATAACCACCTATCCAGCTTTTTCCAACATCTGTGCCCAGTTCCTTTGAATTGTGATTTAGTTTTGATTTCACACATTTGTTGCTGTTAGTATGTAATGAAGTATGCACAAGGCATTTATTTTTGTTGGTTTTAGGCATCAGCCAAAATTGGCTAAAGAATTCCAGAAAGCACACCATCAACTCTTTGAATTTAAAAATGGGAAGATCATCAACTGCAGTTGTCCAAATCTTGTACTGGGTGTGGAGAATACTGACCTTCATTCTGGTACTGAAGTGGTTTTGTTGGAAAAGAAGTATGATGATGTCAAGCAACATTGGGTATGGAAAGAGGAAAGCAGGTACATTTCTATGTATTAGAAATGAGATGGAACATTCAGCCTTACAGTATCCACAGAAGGACCTTCAATCAAGTTTTCCATTTGACTTATTCTTGACTAATACTCATGGTCTGTTTCGTTTTCAGTTTAATTGTGATGTTATCAGAAGTCTCTCAAAATGAAAGCTCAGATAAGAGGATTTTTTTAAAAAAAGTCACAATTATAATCTAAGTCTCACATTTTCATTTTAAATAATTACTTTTTGTCAACATTTTGGCAAAAACTCCTATTTACACATGCTATAGTAATATATGGTTAGATATCTAGAATGGCCGTATTTTTTTTCCTTCTTTAATGTCTGTCCTTTTCCTGTTGTCCCCTTGCATCATTATTGATTAGGGGCAAAGCCTCTATTGTGCTATTGTCATCCCTTCCCATGCAATAGAGACAATATAAACCTCCTGAGATGTGTATAAAACATCCTGTGATGAAATAAAAGCATATGTCATGATTTTAAGACATTTCAGACTCAAGACTTTTTGTTTCTAGGTCCTTTCATCTTGCAATTGATCCAGATCTAGTGCTCACAGTATCAGTGCCCACTGTACTGAATGGATGTCCAAAATTTCCACTGGAAATACAAGGGTATCCTATTATCCTTCAGGTTAGTATCATAACTATAGAGCATTGTCAAATATAGAAAATTATTATCTTAAATCCACAAATGGCAATTCTATATCAACTATCTGTAAAAATATTAATATTTCTATATTCTTATAATTCAGTAACTGGGTTAAGCAACTTTGTCTTCTCCAAATGTTTTGCACTACAGAGTTACTAAATATAAAAACAATATCTGTCCCCTAAGTTGTTTAATAAATAGCATGTTTAACTATTCTCATTACTCTGAGCTCAAATGAGAAATTAGTTTTAGCTTTCTTTTAACATGGCTGTGAAGTCATTGTATCCCTGCAGATTAGCTTCTATAACTTCTATTTACTTTTTTGTTCCCTTTTTGTCTGACCTTCCTTGTCTGCTGCCACCTGGCTGACTCTTCATTCTTTTTACATCAGTGACAACTCCTACAATAGAGGCTCCTTGTCCTGCTAATGGATCGGATAGACTATGGCAGAAGATTACCCTTATATAATTTTAGATAGTTTTCTGTCATCCAATCACATACCAATTATGGTAATGGATGAGAAATATTCTAGGGCATATTTTGAAAACCTCTGTTTCTGAATTTATACACAGTTAAAAATTCAGAGTTTATCTATGTATTCTAAGTTTGATAGAAAGGCCATCTATAATATTGCAGTCCTTTCTCTTTTCTTTTTGTACAGGGTTTCCCTCTGTTATAAAAAATCATATTGTTTCCTGGATCTAGTTTGAGCCATAAAATGCTTGATAGTCCAAGTGCTTAAAAAGTAGATAGCCACACTGAATACATTCAATGTGTTATCAGATGTCTATAGAACTCTAAAAATTTCAAAAGTCTAGATCCATCATATAATATATTAAAACAGTCTTTATAGTATTCACTAGATATAAATATATAATATTTATCTGTATCCCATTAAAGTATGAGACAAAATTCATAAAAAATGACACCTACTACAGGGGTCCCCAATCCCCAAGCTACAGACCAGTTTGTGCAAGCCCCTTTATCCCACGTAACCGAGCCCCCCTCCATGAAACCAGTCCCTGGTGCCCAAAAGCTTTGGGATCACTGATCTATAACTGGTTTCATATCCTAGTCCTGTAATTCAGTACTGACAGAGGATAAAATATAGAGGGGAAGAAAGAGACACCTAGCAGAGGTGTGTCTGGGAATCACTTTTTTCTCTGCTTATAATTTCTGTATTATGATATTTTAGGATTCAGGCGTAATGGATCCAGAGATGATGGAACAGTATTCAGCAAGTTCTGTTTTCCCATTTTCCTAGACACATACCACAAATTTTGTTCTGAAAGTTTGGGGAACTCTTCATATTTTTTTTAAAAAATAGCATCTGGTTGTGATTGCTTTCTTGATGGGCTTGTTTTATGCATCATCTTCTGAAGATTTGGAGAAGTGGGAAGAAGTGACATGACAGATGTTTTTCTTATATTTTGAGTTATTCTGTGCCTGGTTCCTTAGAGCTGGGTTAACTGGAATTCAAATGGATGGTGGAGAGTGGTGAACAGGAGTTTTTACAATGATTAATAATGGCTTCATTGTGAACCTTCCATTTGTTTTCACCTTGAGATACAATTTAATGAATAAATGTAGTATACTGGAAAGAGAAATGTAAGAGTAATTCCATATCACAAATAGATTGCTGCATAATGGTCATGTAACCCAATACAAGTAAATTGTTGCTAAAGGAGCATCTTAGTTTTTTAATACATTGCAGAGGCTTAATTAGTGATATCTCTCTTCAAAAATAGTGTTAGTGATCTGTTTGTTTTGTAAAATTGGTTTTCTGGGCTTTGTTTTAGAGAAATCCTATTTTGGACCAGGGATGAGTAATATATTCCTCTCTGCTAGCTGCTACCAACATCAAAAAGCAAAATGGCTGCACTCATGTAGGCAATATCATTGTATTATATGAGTTTATTGGGTATTTCACTGTGTAAGCCTTACTTTCTGATAGTTCTAGAAGAGCAATGAAAAAGCAATGAAAATGTTGATTTTTTTAAAAAAAAATTAAGAATGTTAATTACAGCAGTAAAAAGTAATGGAAACTTTAGAGAGGAAAAAAGAAAATTAAAAAATAGAAAATACATGGAAAAAAAGAAAGAAGAAAAGGAATACAATAAAGAAAAAGAAAAGAAGTATGTTAATTTCTTCATAATTCATCTCTTATTTATAAGCAAATCTGTAAAACATCAATTTTCAATCCTGGTGTTAGCAAAAAGACCATAAAGGGATGCTGGAACATTGCAAAAAATATTTTTTTTAAAAAAAATCCTATTTTACCCTTGATCAGATAAAACAACTTCATATACCTTCTTTTTACTTTTAACAGTCTTAATCTTTAATTCAATCAAATACTGTCATAGGATTACATTTCTCTTCAGTCCTTCTTTAGCTCAGATTTCTTGAAGGTTTCAACAAGCTTCTTTTGTAGATCTAATAAGAAAACATTTTCCAGGTAATTCTTTTAGTTTATCATTTGTATTACCCTTTTAATTTTTGAAACTTCAGACAGTTTCTTTTGTATATCCAGTAAAGCATCCTTTTATGACATTTTCTATTTTGTAAGTATCAGTATTAGCATGGTTTCTTTTAGTTTTGCTTAAAATCCTTAGTTCCTTCTAGTGTCCCATTTATAAAATCATCACTTATATTTTGTTATGACTTGCAATAGCCTGAACAGCAAACAATAAGAAGTTTTTCATTTTTATAATTAAGTCCACAATTTTATTATAATAAAAGTCAATATTCCAAATTTATCTGAATCCTTAACCCATTTTGTTTCTTTAGAACAAAATCCCATTTACCTTTTTGCTATTTATTTCAATTTTTTAAAGTTCTTAAATGTGTAATTAATTTGTACAAGTTTTATATGTCAATATTGTTAAATACCAGAAGTATACCAAAAAAGATAAGAGACATGCGCAATATTGTCTGATTATCTAGGTTATCTTAATTTTTAAATTATAATTAATGAACAGTCAACTATCAGCTGAAAATTATTGAAAATGAAAGGCAGCACCAATATTTTATGTTTTGACAGAAATACAGACCACATAATTATGGAGCTGCCAACCAAAAATGGAACTTCACTGAAACAAAAGTTTTTAGTGCCTTTTATAGCACAATATTGGATATGGAAATCACCGCAGCAAACTATGCTTCTATTTGCACCTTTACCATAACCAAGGCAGAAAAAATTGACCAACCAGTAAGTTTTAACAATTCTCTGGAGGGAAAAGAAAAATGTAACTCCACTACGATGGATAGTAAAGACATAACTTATGAAGTATTTTAATATTCTTTTAGAAGTACCATGATTCATGCCTATTTGTTTATAATGATGAAACATTATTTATAGTCCATTCTAGTTGTACATTAAAATGCTTTTCTTCAAAATATTTTAAAGTATAAAAATGTTTAAACAGAAATTCAAATGTAAATGACCCTTGAAAGCATTTTCAAACAAAGCAGTCATTTCTAAAAATTCTTTTAAAATTCACTTTTGTAATTATCTTTAATCTTCTAATATACCTTTTAAGATGTATTATATTTTTAACCAAAAAGACAACACAAAATTCAGAGAAGTGGCTTGTTATGTTTTCCAGTTAAGCTATCGTGAAAATCCAAAAGTTACAGCATGCTTTGTTTCAAAACTATGTAGTTTTAAAATAAATGTTCTAGTTTCAGCTCAGATTATAGAATTTTACTGATACATATACACACAATTAAAAAAGGAGAAATTGTGAAAACTAAATTTGAAATAGTTGACATTTAAATAACCATGCAAAAAATAGAAAAAATGTTCTGCAGTATTTAATTTAAAGTATTTTGACCATTTTTTTAAAAAAAATAGGGCTACTATTTTCTTTCACCTTGTGGAAAGAAAAAAATAATGATATGTTTGGCTTGTGGAAGGACCATCAGAGGAAAGAAAGAACTGAAAAAATTGCTCCCTGGTACTATATTTTCCTGTGCTTCTGGATTCCAGGACAGAAATAATTTACCTTTTTGTCCTTTTAAATGCCTTGATGTTAATAAGGTGAGTTAAGCCGTTCACAGTTATACATTAGACATAACCAAATAACTGCCCATATTATAACTTTATCTTTTAGATGGTTTTCAAATAGTGGAATATTCATATTTAAACAACATTATATAAAAAAATAAAATTGAATACCATTTCTTTCTGACTTTATTAGCGACTATTTGCTTTGGGCTAGCTTTGAACCCAGACCATTGTCACGTATTTTGACTTTATTTTTAAAGGAAATATAATGCTATTTATGCTGATGTTAAGCAGTATTTTAAAGATTGTAGTGCTTTGAAAATGCTGAAATAAGTTGAAATCATGCTTGGATTAATTCTGACCTTAACTATGGCTTTCCACCTATGAATTGAGAACAATTTCAACCGCCTCACAATTATTATGAATTAATCTTCATGTAGAAGAACAGGAAGTGTGACTAATTATCTTTTAGCTTGTACTTACATATATATATCTGTTAAATGACTGTCGTTTATTGTAGCATGATTCAGAAGGGAACTGAGTTAAGCAAAAAAAACAACCCCTCCCACTGCAGCTTCCATTCCATTATATTTTTTAAAAAGACTTATAAGTTAAAAGTATAACCCCTTGGGAAGCAGAAAATCCTGATTGCTACTACAGTAGATACTAATATACTAGCTACAAACATAGTCCATTCAGCAGCTATAAGAAATAATCGAACTGGGATATAATTATATACCTTGAGAAATTGCCATGGGTATATTCACTAGGTACATGGTAGAAAAGTCAGCAGTTTTTCCTAGCAGTACATTTTATTTGGGAAAGAAGGATTTGAAATCTGAGTACTATAATGTAGAAGCAATTTTCTTTTGAAAGAAAATGTGTAAAAGAGTGGGTGGGTAATCTTAAACATCAGGGGAGATTAGCAATTAACATTAGTTCAGGAGTTTCTATTGAATTAAAAAACCAGTCCATTCACTTCCTGTTTTACTTAATGGCATTTGGGAAAATATCAGCTAAAATATATTTTCTACTACTTTCTTGGATGCGTACAGTATGTCTTAACATATTATTTAGTTATATCATTTTTGGAAGTAATCTATCATGTAGTTACATATCAAGGGTGGTTAATCTAACCATATTAAATATATAACTTCTGCCAATGTTTTTATAAAAATTCACTTCTGAATCCTCTGTAATTGGTATGTGTGTATTAGGGATAGCTGCCTGTTCATTTTGTCTATCTTGTATTTTCTCTAGTTTGTCATAAAAGTATAATATTTGAAATTCAAATTTTATTCAGTTTGGTTGCCTTTTAAAAAGTAACTTCACTAAAATTATAATAAAACTGAAGTAATGCTAACATTTTGTTTTGTTTTATTGTGGAGATTGATTTATTCTCTGATAAAGCTGAATCCACCCTGCATTATTTTGAAGATGTTCTAGCATCCTTAAAAAATGAAACCTCCTTACAAGTCATCTCAGAAAAGATATCTGCAGCTCTAGACCAAAAAACAGTAAAAATAATTGCATACAAAAATGGAGATGGATACCGAAATGGGCAACTAATTGTTGCTCACACATTCCCGAGGGTAAGTAACAATAATCCAAAGAGAATCTTGTAATTGAATTGATAAGGACAAACAGTATGCCTAGACAGTAAGGTAAAAACAATATATTACCTCATCATACATGCTGGGGGAGGGGAATTTTAATAATGTAAATCTACAAGTGTCTGCCCTGAAGATGTCAGGTCAAATCCAAGGTGTGTAAGAACTACTATGGATCTAGTGTAAGCAAATAGCATTGGGGGGAGGAAGAACCGTCTCATTGCAGGCATCACATTAAAAGTAATATTTCTACAATTTACTAAGAAATTCATTACTAGTGAATTATAATCTCAAATTTGTACATTTACCCTCTCATTGCCAAATGTTTCCCTGAATAGCAGTAGGAGGCTTGTTTCTCTTAATAAAAAAAAAAGGTGCTGAAGGCTTATGACATTACTAGAATTACTAGAAAAAATTGAATTATAAATATGGAGAGTGACCACCTAGTGAACTTGCAAGCATTTGCAGGCAATACATGTCTTGAAAATCAGAGATTTATATGTTAAGTGGGAAATCCAGTGAACATTTAGGAAAGGAAAATTATATTAGGGATTATTTAGTCATGCAAGCGAAGTTGATATATGGCAATAGCATTTACACTTATATAATGCATCACAATGTTTTACAGCCCTTTCTAAGTGGTTTACAGAGTCAGCATATTGCCCCCAACATTTTGAGTCGTCATTTTACTGACCTTGGAAGAATGGAAGGCTGAGTCAACCTTGGTCTATAGAATCTTAAAGAAAGAGTGGAAGAGCAGTGGGATCCTCCCTGTTCCACTACCGGTTTGGTGATCAAGCGCGCATGCACGCGCACCTAATGTGTGCACACGCAGCTTGCCCCACACCAGCTGAGGCCTGCAATGTCAATCAGCAGAGGATAAAGAAAAGAAAAGTGCAGGGGTGGGTGGGAGGTCCAATCCTGCACTTTTCTCTTCTTTCTCCTCTCAGCTAATTGGATTTTTTTCCTCCTCTCAGCTGATCATCGGAGGCCTTTTTACTACTGGTTTGGCTGAACTGATCCAATGTGAACTGGTACCATACCACCATTGGAGAGGAATACAAATGTAATATAGCAAACTTGTTAGAAAAATAACAAAATAAGAATTACAATATGATAATTTATTTTTATATGTTGTTAATTATGTGTTTGAAGTATATACATATACATACATATATTTTCCTTTATGTAGTTGCTTTCATTATGTACAAGACGTCTTGAACTTAGCAGGACAGCTTGCAAGCTGTATAACAGTGAAGGGACCCTGATCCTCACACTGCAGGATTTAGTCTTGTGTGCAGTAAATGATTACCTCAAAAAGCAAGAAACTGAAGAAAGAGATGAAGAAGCCATTTCTGATAATGGCCTTAAACAAATTGCATCTGTGTTTTCAAGAAAAGGTAAAATGTGACTTTCCATATCTTGCCTATTAAAAGTATATGCACTTGATATGTAGATTAACCAGCAAAATGAATCTTTTTCGGAGAAAAGATACATGGAACTGTTTTCTGACATACTATCCAAAAGTCTCTGATTTTGTTTTATTTTATTTTTTTTTAAAAAAACTTATTGTTGGTTTGTTTTGGTTTAGTTTTAGTTGTTTATGAGTTTTCAGAGTGTATCTTTAGTCTTTTATTTTTAGATGTATTGTGCACAGTTTTGTGAGCATTAAACAAAAAGGATAGTGTATGCAAATAAATGGACCAAAAAGTTTGTCTAGATTTCAGCTTATATATAAGCAGACTTTGACTTGATTCTTTGAAGTCTATTTCCATTAGATGTGTGGGTTCTTTACTTGCTCAGAGTCCTGTTCAAGAATTCTCTAGAGCAGAATGATATCGGTGGGTGCAATTTTTTTGCTGTTTTAGTTACTCTGATTTTATTTTGTTGGTTTAGGCGAATAGCTCATTTAATTCCATATTCTGTATACATTGGTAGTGAAATATGCATTCAGAAAGCTTATAAAGGCAGACAGGAGGACAGGAATCCTCTTGTACTGTTGCTTCTCAGAAGCTCATATTTAAAATATACAGTCCATAATTTCAGCCTAGTAATTACTCACCAACACAAGTTTATATCTTGCTCTTCCATGTCTTTTTCCCTTCCGCTTTTAAAACAACTGAATTGGTAGCACAGGTGGGATTCCGCCGGTTCTCACCAGTTCGCCTGAACAGTTAGTTAATTGCTTATGCAGTTCAGAGAACCAGTTAAAAATAAAGTGCAAGAGAAGTTTTTTTTTCTCTCTCTCCCTCCCTTCAGTTAATAGCTCTGAGTAGACCAAGCCAAGAACCAGTTAACAGTTGAAGCTGGAATACAGCCTATACACGCTGAATCAAGTCAATAAACAACAGAAACTGACAGGATTAGGGCAGGGAAACCCATCAATCACCCATCTAGGGATGGGATTAACCTCTTCCCTTCAGAAAGAAGGAAAAGATAACAAACATTTTCATTATAAAGAGTATTAAGTAATTTCTGTGATTAGCTGATACTACTGGAGTTCCCCAAGACCTTTTATAGCTGCTGCAGTGTTGGCTACTTCTTGTTTCTTTTTTTTTTTGGGGGGGGGGAGATACAGGAGGGAACAATGATGCAACTTGATCATACAGGCTATGAATTTAATGTGGTCTAGCCAACTGTACTGCTTCTGCTGTGAAGCACCCAATTTAAAACATAGAGAACATAGAGAACATAATAGAGTTGGAAGGGTTAATGGCTTTTGGCAGCATGCTCAGGCTTTCAATTAGCATGAGCAGCTGCTCTTAGTTTCTCTCTCAGCTGTTGCATTTGCTTTGGGGTTGACTTTTTTTAAAAAGGGGGAATGGCTGTTTCCTGCATTGTTTTAGTGGTTCCTGGCACTGTCCTTTTGGGGTGTGCTTCCCTCACTCTTTTTGAAAGCCCCTAGTGATGGAGCACCCACAACTTCTGAAGACAAGCTATTCCATTGGTTGATTGGTCTCACCCTTAGGAAATTTCTCCTTAGTCCGAGGTTGCTTCTCTCTTTGGTTAGTTTCCATCCATTGTGTCTTGTTGGGCCTTTTGGTGCTTTGGAAAATAAATTGACTCCCTCATTTTTGTAGGAGCCCCTCAAATTTCCTGACAGAACTATTAATCAGTGGAACAACTTGCCTCCAGAAGTTGTAAATGCTCCAACGCTGGAGATTTTTAAGAAGAGATTGGATAACCATTTGTCTGAAGTGGTATAGGGTTTCCTGCCTAAGTAGGGGGTTGGAGTAGAAGACTTCCGAGGTCCTTTCCAACTCTGATATTGTATTCTATTCTAAATATTGGAACAGTGCTATTTTATTGTAAGTTGGACTAAGGAGAAATTTCCTAAGGGTGACACAATCAAGTTGACCATGCCCACCCAGTCACATGACCACCCAGCCACACCCACCCAGTCATTAGGGCAGAGAACCGGTTGTTAAATTATTTGAATTCCACCACTGATTTTGGTAGCCTTTGTCACATCTGATGGTAGCAAATTCCACATTAGCTATCTGCTATGCAAAAGTATTCCTGCTTTTAATTGATTTAAATCATCTAGTTTTTAATGTATGATTTTATATGTCTATTAGGACTTTCCTCACCTACTTTTATGCTAAATGGAAAAAAGTCAAAGATGTTCTAGTCTTTATTCACAGAAAATATTATAGGCCTCTAACTATTTTGAGTCATCTTTTCTGTACCTTCTCTACTTCTTTACAGTAACATCATTTTTGAAATGTGGTGGCCAGAACTATATGTGATACATCAGAGCATTACTCAACTGGTAGTTTTATTTTAAATTCCATTCCTAATTATCCCAAGCATGGATTTTGCCCTTTTGTAATAAGTCAAAACTGAACTGTCCATAAAAATGCCAAGATTCAGGTTTCATGAAAGCTTTGCTCATGTGAAGTTCTGCTTGCTGTTTTGTACCAATGCACATCCTGTTGCACTTTCTTTACTGAAATATATTTGCCATTTGCAGTTCATTTTGGAAGTCTTTGCAATCCATTTTAAAAAGTGTATGTATGTATCTCAATAAATTTGATGACATTAGCAAATTAGAACACCTTACCCCTAAATTGAGATTGTTTATTAATCAATTAAAAGTATCACTCTTTTTTACTTAAATTAACCTGTGGCATACTTTGCTTTAATAGCTCTTCTGTTTACAAATTATTGAATTATTCATCTTTCTTTCTTTCTTAATCATTAGCCAATTACCAGTCCACAACATGACAGGTGCTTGTCCTCTAAGTTGATTTTAAAAAATGGTGAGGTCATTTGTGAAAGAAATAAGAGTTTTTAGATTTTAAAAAAAGGTAGAAGATCACTGAAAAAAATGTATTGTTGCAGAAATTTACTAGTTTTTTTTCAGAAAGGTATTTGTATGTTTTATCTTATTCTTTAATAAAATATTGTACCATTTAACTCAGAAAGACATTAAACTAATGGGACATAAATTCCTATATATTCTAGAACTTGAAGCAACTCTAATTATTCATTTTCAGATATTCTCGGGAACAGATGCTGATTTTAAAATTAAGTTGCATATTTTTCTTGGAAGATCAGCAGCCTCACATTCATAATCATCAAATGTATACCATCTGGGCCCAGATATTGTATTTGTTTATTTTTAATTCATCCGTTTCATACTCTTGCTCCTTCTGTCTGTTTATTGAACCCTTCTGGGGAAAAAAAACCTAAGGCTTATCTTATCTTATCAATGAAGACAGAAGCAACAAATTAAGCTTCTCCTCAGTTTTCCTTTCCTCCTTTATGTCAACCAGCACCTGTTTGCAACTTCTTTATGTGAGGATGCTCTTTCTGTTTTTTTATACTTGGGTGAGGCCATCTTGCTATCATTTTTGCTCTATTGCTAGCACTTTTTAAAGCAGACTTAAGAAAAGGACTGTGAGAGTACTTTATAATAGATTTTGCAGCAGATTCTATGTCTACAGAGGCCTTTATCTGGACTGACAGCCACTGTTTAATTCTGTTTTTGTAGAACTCTTCAGATGATCAATTCAGACTAATTCCATATCCTCTCATGCAATACATTGACTCTGGAGGTGGTATGCGATTCCCATCTCAATCAGAACGTTGTTTGGCTCCTATTTTTTCTGGCCATTTCTACTGTTAGAACATTTTCTTAACACTCTAGATGTTAATAGGATCTTGGCCATGTATATTGCTGTGGCAGCCTTCATTAATCAAGATGTATACGGAACAAGGGCTATCTGCCAAATATATTTCTCAGCAATAGGAGTGTGCCAAAGTGGATTCTGTATACACAGAAAACTGTTTCTGTGTATATACAAATACGTAATTGACAACTTGAACAACCATGATTACAGATTAGCATCCTGTGGTAGAAGATGAAGATCAGTTAGTTGCTAATATGTATAGATTGTCTGAATACACTTAATTGTAGGGCAACAGACAAATTCTGAAAAAAATCTATTTTCTCTCTCACACACATCTATTGTAGGGAGTAATACTTATAACAAGTACTGAAGTTCACAGTTGTACCATTTATTTTTAATTGAGAAATACAGTCACACATTTATAACAATGGAGAAAAGCAGCTTTGTTAATTTGTCAAATTCTTGATAGTTAGATGGTTAGAACAATTAGACAGTATAGTTAGACAGTTAGAACAATTAATCAGTGGAACAACTTGCCTCCAGAAGTTGTGAATGCTCCAACACTGCAAGTTTTTAAGAAGAGATTGGACAGCCATTTGTCTGAAATGGAATAGGGTTTCCTGCCTAGACAGGGGGTTGGACCAGAAGACCACCAAAGTCCCTTCCGACTCTGTTTGTCAAGCATCCAGAAAGTATCTATGATATCAATCACTCCGAGACGTTATCTCTCCAATTGATTTATTAGGAACAGATCTGGCATGTCAAAAGCAATTTCCCAAGTGAAAGTTTTTTCGCGCGTTACACAGAACCCACCTTCTCTCCTCCCTTCTCTCCTCCCACTTCTACACTTCATAAATCACGAGAACCAATTTACTGCAACTGGAAATTCTTAATACGACACACAGAATAACCTTGAACTTTTCAACTCCTCTAACTCTCTAAAACAAAATGTGGCAGCTGAATTTCAAAGCTGACACTGTTATTCTGTTCTGCCCTTTGCTTGGACAATGCTGAAGTACTATGTGAAGGTGCTTAGAATGAAATAGTACAACCTAGTGCAATGAAATAGTCCAAGAAGCTTCTTGGATGAGAAGCGAAACATTTTCTTCTATTTCCTGAAGGAAAAGTTTCTTTTTGAAGGAAAAAACAACAACCCACCTTTGAGACTGCAGTCAGTCAGGATCCAACTATTGGCTATGGGCAAGTCAGCTTGAAATACTGCAGTCTAACTACTATACCATCCCTGCTCCTAATTCCTTAACATTTTGTTTTTAGTATTTGAAAGCCTCGTATTGTGAGAACTCAGTATATTTCTGGGTGTATATCTTTAGTGCCCCAATGGCATGGTCATAGACAATCTGAATTTGATATGCTCATCCCAGATGGGCAGGCTTTGGGTGTCCCATTCACTTATGAGAAGAAAAGGATGGGCTTCTTAGAGTAGTGTTTTTCCATGGTGGCCCCCACATCATGGAATAGTCTCCCCCCTCCCCGATTCATATTGCTCCCACATTGGAATCTTTCATAAAAACTTTAAAGGTGGAGTTCTTCCTCTGGATATTTGACCCCTAATAATTTTATTAATAATTTGGATTATTGCCATGAATTTGTTAGTACATTTTACCTATTGTTTTATTTTTATTTCTGTATTTGGCTATATTGAAAACCTCTGAAAGTCAACTTGATGCCAGCAGTAAATTAATAACTTAATAAGTATAAGATTAGAAAATTGTACAATTTAAGAAAACTGTAAAATAAAAGAAAATTATGAGAAAAGAATTTTTGTAAAATCTTTCTTTTCTCTCTTTTCCAAGATAAGGATAAGAACATCAACTTTACATCATCAGTGATAACACCAGATATTGATCATTTGGTGCTCAGCAACATTCTTAGAAATCCAGTTGAGGTCTGGGTTTCCAGCGGAGAACCTTTTCTACCTTTGGATAGTAAGTCATTAAACAAAAAAGAAAATATTATAAGAGGTTGACATTTCTATCTGTTTTTCTTTAGAATATGGCTGATACCATGTACTTCAAATTACAAATTTATGTTCATAATTCAGTGAAGAATGTAAATGTTTAATAATGTAAAATTTGTACATAATTCATTTCTAGAGTATAAAAAATAGTAAAAGTATACTTTGCAAAATAATAGATTATTATCAAGGGAAAAATTACAGAATATTTTTATTTATTTATTTATTTATTTATTTATTTATTTATGTCTGTCATCACATTCCAGAACATTCTTCAACTATTCCCCAGATTTATTCAATAGGAAGATGAGTGTTGATTTTAAGACACATCCCATACAAAAAAGGAAGTTGGGCAGAAAAGAATTTATGAAACGCAAATGTTAGGTTACTGTCCTGCTTCTCTACCTCTCTCACAAGGGTGGCTAAATCTCAGTTGAAGATTTTCCTCAAACATATATCTGTGATATGATTGAATAAGTAGTATTTTATGTAGTACATGTACATATGTGTGTGTGTGTGTACATATATGCATGTACACATGCACAGTCACATGTATTCATACACATACACATATATCACACACAATCAAGAAGCATCAGAAAAAGACTGGGCTTAGACAAAATATAAATTAATGAGTACTCATTCAATTTATTAGCTGTACACACAAAAACAATCAACTATTGTCTTACAGGTTTTAACTGCCTTGCAGCCACTTTAAGAAACTACTGTCTGCCCTTCCCAATTCACAAGTGTGTATGTGTGTGTTTGGGGGGAGGGGAGAATGGTGTGGAGAGCAACTCTCTTTTTTGCATAAATTATTATTTTAAAAGGTCCTGTTTTTCACATAGAGTTACAATACTAAATGGTATTGAATTTGTAACTTTCCAAATTTTCTTTATTCTGTACATGTTTGACTAAGGGAAGATTTAAGTACTTGAGCATTTTCACAGAATTTTTTCTTGAGTCATTTAATGCTTTTTAATTACATGTTTTAAGACCTTTAGATGCAAAATCTAAGAGGTCTGTAGGGGGCATGCATAAGCGCACCGACGTGCCTACCATCCCTGTCCTATTGTTTCTTTTATTTTTTTAATTTTTCTTATATGTATCCATGTATTCATAACTATGTTTTTACTTATGCCTATTATCTTGTAAGCAATTGACAAAAATAAATAAAAATAAAAATCATGTACCAAAAAATGTATATATATATATATATATATATTCATTACAGCTTTGGAAAACATAGAAAGGCAAGAAAAACAGAAGTGGCTAGAAAAAGATAAAATTCTGGCAGACCTTAATGCAATGAAACATAAAATGAGACAACTGCAAGGTCAGTATTATAGTGAAAGTTGATTTCATTGTAATTACATTATTTTTAATAATATAATATTAACATGAGATAACAACTTTTAATATTAGTCCATGTATCAAAACCTTCTTTTTGAGATTTTTCAAGCTGACATACTTTTGTAATAATAATGCCAATGTTCTAAGTTTACGGTATTATATTAACATTATTGAAAACACATCCTTTTTTACACAAGGACTATTCAATATGACTGCTATGCAAGATTTTTTTAAACTAAATTTTTAGCTCCACATCTCAGAGCAAATGTGGATCTCAAAATTGCAACCACAGATCCTACAGAGAATAGTTAGATTTTATTAAGGAATAATACAGTGCAAACATATTAATGTGTATTGGATTATTTCCCTTTGTTCCAATGAATTAAAATTCTTCTACATTAAAAAAGTGCTCTAAAACCATTCTTATTTTAGGACGTCGTATAACAAAGTATAAAGCTGCCGATTTGGTGCCCACTAAGAGCCCTTTCCAGCCTGTGGTAGTAGAAGGAGGCTGGACAGAAGAAACTCAAGAAGAGATGAAACTCATGGAAACTATACAACAAACAGAGGTGTGAATATATACTTTATGCTACCCAATTTCCTGAGAAATGAAATCTTTATATCTAAATGCTTTAGAAAAAGATTTGTGACCTGCTAAATCAATAAATTGTCTGAACTATGACTTCTTTTCATAGTGAGGGAGAAATATGTTTAATTTACATTAAGTAGGATTGATCTCTGAAGCAAAACTTGTTTCTTATCTAAACATTTTAGCTACATGTTTCACATTCCCTTAATCCACATATTATTCTTGAGAAAAAGGAATCTGGTAGTCTCCCCCAAGACTGCCGTTTTATCATCCTGGAATAAATTTTAATTTATAAATGGAAGCACTGCATTTCGAACAACTATTTTCATTAAAGTTTTTAATAAATAATCACTATGAAGGAATTGGGAAAAGAGCAGTACAGTATGTTATATTTTTAGAAGCACAGAACTACAAAGATAACTTCATTTTGTTTAATTAGAATCCTTTGGGTCAATAAGTATACTTGAAAGTTGTGGGTGGTCTCACAAAATGATTGCACAAAGGAGGCTGTCTTTGTGGGCATGACCAATTACCAAACATGAGTTGCTCCTTGTCATGTTTTCTTGCTCTCAGGCAGTTCTTGCCAAATAGGGGGACATAAATCCAATAGATCACAATCATGGACAAGGTTGTGCTAAATACTGCCCTCCCCCTCATTTCCAAGGTGTGAAGATGAGGACCCAGATCTCATTGAGCCATCAGATTCAGAAAAAATTTAATGGTTGAAGTCATTGAGAGCTCCTTGACGCTTTCTGAGCTTGTTTGTTTTCTTGCAGATGTTTCATTACCCTAACTAGGTAACATCATCAGTGCCAGTAAGGAGTGCTGATTACTGTCAGTTTACATTCTGGTGTCTTGTCTGTCTGTGTGGGTAGGGGTGGTCATCTAAACATAATATTGCTAATAATAGCTAGTAAACTGTATAAATACACAGTATCAAAATCATATAATGTCTTATCCATGTCTTATAGCAATATAAAACATTTTTTAAAAAAATCAGAAAGAATGGAAGGTATTACAGTCCAGAACCCTGCATAATCCACAAATGTGGCTGTTCAGACGCTCACTAGATGTTCTAAAGAATGTACAGGATAACTTTAATGAGCTGTTGTTTACTGGAACCACCAAATGTGCACACCATAATAGCTTCCATATGTTGATGCCTGCGGGAGGGCAAAGGTGATATACATAATACATACACATGTAATGGTGTCATGATGAAAACCCCACATTTTTTGTATTTGTGTTGCATTGTTGCAGGCACGTATTTTGACATTTTGATGAATTCTTGGTTTACTGTAGATGTCATGGCTCCAGATTTCTTTTCCCTGACCCATATTTGCCTTCAGGTCTTCCCTGAAAGATTCAATTCCTCTTTGGCTTCAGTGAATAAAAAGTATTCAGGGCTATTTCTTACCCCATAATTGAGATAATGCCTTAAAACGCTTTTGCTTAAATAGAAGGATCACTAGTGTTCATAATTCTAATGTAACATACTTTTTGTTGCATTACATTCATTCCTTGTGGCTTTGCAAAATGTAAACTACCATACAGAGTCAGCCACTGATTTTAACTCCATGACTTGGATTATGTTTCACTCTAGATGCACCTTTCAGAGCTTCAAGCACTGCAGTTCCAAAGAAGTTCTCCCTTTTCTCCTAAATTACTTGCCAAAAATGACAAGGGTCTCTACAAGCAGCCCACAACCAAAAGAGTGTGGGCTTACCCAAATGGAAATATACCTGACAAGGGAGTACATGCGTGGGGAAAATCTATGACAGAGGTAAAGAGGGTAACTTTTCTTTAAATAAATTAAGTAAATAAATAAATATCCTTTAAATAAAATTTCAAATAAAACCCCCCAAACATCTTAACTGCTACTTCATAGTGGCGAATATACATCAGTTGCTTACAAGATAACCTTATCATGTGCACTGCATTGTTTTTCTTTTGCTTAAAACAAAAGTTGGAGATATATGGCACTCCACCGGATGCGGAACAACAAAATCCTCACCTTGATCACTCTGGTTAAACACTGGAGATGTATTTCATCAACTTATGAAATTTCTGTACTGATTTCTGTCCTTATATGATTGTATACAGGTAGTCCTCAATTTAGACTCATTTGGTTGGTGACCATTCAAAGTACAATGGCACTGAAAAAGATAGCGTATGACTGAATGTCAATGGAGATTCTCAATCATCCAGATCATGGTTGTCCCAAAGTTGCTTTTCAAAAGGCAAATGGACTCGCTTGACAAGAAAGTCCAATTGCCTTTTGAAAAGCACCTTTGCATGACTTACAGTCATTTTTCAGACTTACAACGACTGCAGCATCCCCATGGTCATGTGGTTAAAATTCGGATGCTTGGCAATTAGCATGCATTGATGATGGTTGCATTGTGTCAGGGTCATGTGATCACCTTTTGCGACCCACTGACAAGCAAAGTCAACGGGGAAGCCAGATTCATTTCCAACCATGTTACTAACTTAACTGCAGCAATTCACTTAACAGCTGTGGCAAGAAAGGTCATAAAATGGGGCAAAAACTCACTTACTGTAACTGTTTTGCTTTGCAGTGGAAATTTTGGGCTCAGTTGGGGTCATAAGAAAAGGAATGCCTACACAACTTGTTGTATAAGTTCTAAAATTATATACTATACTTGAAATTACTCTCTGTCAATTTAGATAATTCTCTGTATTTTTTACACTCCCCACATGAATACAATCTAATGTCTCCTTAAGACAGAAAAAAAATCAAACACTTGATCAGCCTTTGATCATGTTGTATGAACAAAAGAGTAGTTTAAAAAGATTTTGGAGTAACAAATTAATTTTAATTGTGGACAATTCCAGGTTAATTGTTCCTTGCAGTATAAATTTTGTGGCATGAGATTCTGACAATAGACACGGTTGCTTTAATGGCTTGCAAACAAGCACTGTTTGCTCTTCTGTATTTTAATCAGAAGCACTGCATGGTCCCAAAATAAACAAACAAACACACATATATACACACTGATATGCAAATACATAAATGCTTATATTCTCCTTTCTTTTTGATGTAAACAAAAGCATCGCATTGCACCTGTGTCAGAAGCACCAAAGTGCTTCTGGGTTGAAAGGATTAACTGGTGACATCACCATTGCCCAGGGAATACCCACTTGGGAGCTCATTTCAATTCCTGACAGGAAGCAGTGGTGGGGGATTCAAATTTTTTTTACTACTGGTTCTGTGGGCGTGGCTTGGTGGGAAGGATGTGGCAGGGGAAGGATACTGTAAAATCTCCACTCAGAGATGGTATTTGCTGGTTCTCTGAACTACTCAAAATTTCCACTACCGGTTCTCCAGAACTGGTCAGAACCTGCTGAATACCACCTCTGGAGTTAAGCAAAGAATGGGAGCTCACTCCGCCCCAAGCAAAGCATAATATTATGCAAAGCAAAATATTAAGTATTAAAGAGAAAAATTTAAACAAAGGAGATAAGAGAAAGGAAAACTGTCCCTGACTAGTTAATACCAATACTATTCATTACAGGTTGTCCTCAACTGACAACAGTTCATTTAGTGACTGTTCAAATTTACAACGACCCTGGACAAAGTGACTTATGACCATTTTTCACATTTACAACTGTTGCAGCATCCCCATGATCACATAATCAAGATTTGGATGCTTGGCAACTGACTCATACTTATGACAGTTGAGTGTCCTGGGGTCATGTAATCACCTTTTGCGACCTTCTGACAAGCAAAATCAAAAGGGAAGCCAGATTCACTTAGCAACCACGTTACTAACTTAACAATTGCAGTGATTTGATTAACAACTGTAACAAGAAACATCATAAAATTGGGCAAAATTCGCTTAACAAATCTTTCACTTAGCAACATAAATTTTGGGCTCAATTTTGGTCATAAGTCAAGGATTACCTGTATGCTTCTCCATCCTTGTTTGTGCAAGCTGTCAGCTTTACTATAATGTCCAAGTATAATCTTGATAGCTTTGTACAAATGTATTTATTTTTAACTTAGTTGTAAGTTACGGCTGAAAAAACACCAATTGTGCAACTAATTCTGTATAAAATGTCCTACAGCAGGGTGTCTCTGCTTTGGCTGATAGTTTGAAAACTGTACATTCTGACTTACTGTCAAAGAGACTTCTGAATAGTAATGCAGTTTTAATATTTCAGCTACTTGACAGTTGTACAACTCATCTAAAAATGTCACAGCCTGCAAAGATACTATATACACCTGATGGATACCAGCTGCAGTCGTGGGAAGAAATAGAGAGGGACATGATGGTTTGTGTTTCCACAGGACATGTCTTTATGAGCCCAAAAGGTAACATTTAAATAACATTATTTAAATGTTAAAAGGACCTTTTAAATTTTTTAGCAATCCTCTACATAATTCAAGTGTCTTAATCATGAGGTGGCTTGTAATTTTTAAACGTGGGTTTCCACATCATACTTATGGGTAGGAGTACTGCCCATAATCTGGTCCTTCTCCTTCTGATCTAAGAACCATGTCTGAATCTGGTTTGGCTTCTGGAAATTTAAGTGGCAGGTTTCTGAATAATGCTCAAGTTTTCAGGAAACAAACAAATGGACTTATCATTCCATAAAACAACCTTAAATTAAAATCAACTATACATTTTCATGTTTTAAGACAGAATTAGATAAATCAGTTTCATTCCTGAAATATAATTCTGTTTTTTCAGCTGTACAGCATGAAATAGAAATTAGAGCTCATTATGCAAGAATTCGGAAGCAGCAAGGTCCAGAATCTACCAGCATTGTTGTTTCACCATCAACTAAAGTTATAGACAAGGTTGTATCACAATACATTGTATAACAGTAATAATATTATATGCTATATCATTAGTTCTAAATTATTTTTTTCCTGCAGCTCTTGTGAGGTAAGATTTAATTGAGTTAGATGGCTTCTGTTAGGGCTCAGAATCCATAGCCATCATTATGACAAGGAAACTTTTGGCAAGAGCATTTCAGATTCAAAAGTATCCTAACTTAATTCAGCATAAAATTGATTTAAGCAAGGAATGCTGGCTGGCGGCACTCCAAAGAAGATCATTTTCTGCCATGGACCTTGTCCTCTGGAACATCCTGCATCCTGAGATTACATTGACCCCACCACATCCTGCTAGCCTTCTGTAAGCCTTTGAGCCTGGGACCCCAGTGTGGGATGGAGCCTATTTCTTGGCTATGCTATGATTCACCGTCATAAATAATTTAGCATTTTATATATTTCCATTGGTTTTAATGTTGTGAGCTGCATAGAATCATGTACTTGAGATGTGTGGCCATATCAATTGAATAAATAAATAAATGAATTTCCTTAAATTTATTTTTTTATAATTCCTTCAGTAATATTTAACAATACGTAACATCTTGATATATGAGGGGATATGAGCTAGTGCCATTTCTGGATCCAGGCTTTTTACAAATTGATTACCCATGGAAGCAAGCTTCGGGTGCTTTAAAAATAAATGGAAGTATAAGAACCAGCACCAGAACACAAAGCCTATTTGTGCTCTACAATTTTATTGGAATTATTTAATCCAGATTTTTTTTCCCCCAACCAAAGGCAGCCTGAAGTTATGGACAATGCCCCACTAAAATGGTTTGGGTAGCTGTACATTGTGCGTACACATGAACATCAAATATACTTTCCATGTTAATCATATGCCAGTAATATATGCTGACTGTTTCCACATTTCTCACTGTCCATATGCCACTGCAACTGTTTTGTTGAACCAAGAGACCAGTTATATTAAATGCGTATACTGTGTGCATAAATTTGGAAGCCGGGAAAGCTTACTTACACAGAATATCCCATTAATTCTCCTGCTTGCCTCCTGTTGTAGAAAAGCCATAAAAGAAACATTGCTTAGAACAGTTGCTGCAGGCAGCTCTGTGATGACCTGATTAAAGATTCCCATTATGTGTTTTGGGTGAGAGCGAAATCTCAGCAGGAGTGATTCAGCAGTAGGGACTTAATTTCTAGAATACCTTTAAGATACACTTACATATATGTATATGCATGTGCACAGAGAAAGAGAGAGAGAAAGAGAGAGGTGATAGTACCTATAGGTAAATATAACTTCAGTCACTATAATGCAATCAGAAGATACACTTAAAAGTTAACTCTTCCTAAACTGATGCCAGGAGATAGCAGTTTAATCATTGCATTTAGTTTGGTTCTCATTTTAAAAGAAAATTGATTATGATGATATAAACTCTTTGGACACAAAGAAAAATCTCAGTTATTTGTTGTAACTGTATTTAATTTATAACAAATATACAGTTAGTAATCTATGAGTAGCAGAACAATATTTGCAAATCTTTAATTATTTATATCCCAAACTTTATTATTTTTACAAATAATTAAAGACAGCAAATGTGTCCAGCAATCTTCTTCCCCCTATTTTCCCCACAACAATAGCCTTGGGAAGGTTAAAGTTGACAGAGAGAGATTGACTGGCTTTCATGCTAAGGTGTGACTTGAACTCACAATTTCCCACTTTGTAGTCTGCTGTCTTAACCACTAGACCAAAATGGCTCTTACTTTTTAAATTTTATTCATTTCCTTCTTTGCAGTTGACTCAAACCCAGAAGTTAAATAATATTTTGTTATAACTCTCTACCATATAAAATATATCTGAATTCAGTCTATAGTATTCTTCCTTGAAAGGTATATTAAACTTCCTTTCTATAAGCTGAATAGTTTATCAATAGTATAATCAAAATAATTTAAATAGATTGATAAGGGGCCAATTCAGTGATTTTGCTACTCTGTGAGTCATAAGTAAATATATTGTAGGATATCTTAACAGATGTGAATGATGATATATTTTATATTCATTTTTAAAAGTTCTGATAGATATTGGTAAAACAAATCATTAACGCTTGGAAAAAGGTTGTAAGGGCAAATGAAGCATGAGTTTAATATTAAAGATTTGTAATATTTACATCATTGCTATATATACTCCTAACAAATTTGTTCAATTCAAAAATTATTTTAGAATTCAAAATTGGAGCCTATGAAACTCAATGTACTTCACAGTAGACATACTAGAAGTTGCATTGCTAGTTAAAATTCAGATTAGTGCTGTCAAATACATTGAATATCTATTTTTACTGATGCCCACAATTAAGTGAAAAAAACTTCTGCTTTTGTATTTGTGTATGTGTGCCTTTGAGTGAGTGGTTTCTCTTATCTGAATTTTTCAAAATGGGTTTTTCCTTAAATATTTTTATTATCCATCACCAAAATGTTGAAATAACAACCCAGGAAAGTTTCCTTCTAAAATACAGTATATATATCCGTATCTTCCTCTTTTCTAGTAGTCTCTGTAGAAAGTGATTGGAAAACTTTAAGATCCTTTCTCTCACTATTGTTTTAAAATTCTAGCTGAAAACGTGCTTATATTTAATTCCTCTCGCCTTTTGAAATATTCTGTCCTTCTCTAGGAATCCTACCAATTAACCTGTTGTGTAAAAATTACTAATAAAACAGATGAAAAGGGAATGGATCCAGAGGTGGTATTCAGCAGGTTCTGATCAGTTCTTGAGAACCGGTAGTGGAAATTTTGAGTTGTTCAGAGAACTGGCAAATACCCCCTCTGACTGGAGATTTTACAATATCCTTCCCCTGCCATGCCCACCAAGCCACGCCCACAGAACCGGTAGTAAAAAAAATTGAATCCCACCACCGAATGGATCCATAATTTAGAGCTGAAATCCACATCTTTACTTTTCAGCTTCTGCAGCATCACATTGATTAGGGAAGGATGGGCCAGGGAAAACAAATGGTTTTAAAATCAGAAAGAAATATGACAACAGCAAAGCTTTGTCCATTATTTAAACAGTCCAAGATAGCTTGGACTCCTTATATCTATTTCCCTTATGCCTAAATATTTTGAGGTGTTGGGTTTTTGCTTATGTTTCTTATCACAGAATAAGAAGCGCATAGACGGTGCTCAGGATAAACTGTGATATTAGCCAGTATGAAAAACGGAAGTTTCTTATGGTTATTAACCTAATACAGGCAATTTATGATACATTTATTATTGTAGCTGTCAAACTGGGTTTTTTAAAATGGTTCAAGAACATCAAGTTTCTTTTTTTAAAAAAAATCTAATTTATTGTACTTTGTAAGTAATATTAAGGACTCTTTTAGAGAAAAAGGACAACATCTTTGAAACAAATAATTAAATAAGGTAACCAAATATAGTTTTTCCCATAAACTTTTTAAATATCTTTCCCACATAAATTTGATTGAGATACATTTTGTCCAAAAAAGAATGTTAGAAAAAAAATAAGAAAAAATTATAGGCAAAAAATTGTTTTGAATATTTTTATTTTGAAGTCTTAACAAAATCATGAATATGTGAAGTCATGTAAGAAATGCAATAAAATTAATTATTTCTACATATTTTTATACACAGCTCAAAACGAATAGCTCTCTTTTGGCTCTCACTGGCAGACCTCATGAAGATGTCAATGACTAGGTAAGTGTTTTCCTGAATTTTTTTTTAAAAAAGATAAAGAAATCTAGTGTTTCTAACTCACTTCAGCAACAAAATCATGAACAAAACCACACATAAAGCACTACTACAGGAAAAGAGAATCCACTAAACAAAAGTATCTATTTCCCTTCCCACAGAACATAAAATGGTAGTAGTGACTGACAACAGAATTCCATAATTATGGGGGAACATCTATAATTTTTGTCATTAAATCACAAGTGAATATTTCCAGGAGAGAAACATTCTGTCCTAGAAGAATGTTTTTTCCTGCTGCATCCTTTATTTTGCAGATAATTGGACTTATTTTATCATGTAGACATTAACTACATATTTCCTTGATACAATATACAGAATCAAGATACCATTAAGCCAGTGGTGGGATTCAAATTTTTTTACTACTGGTTCTGTGGGCATGGCTTTGTGGGTGTGGCAGGGGAAGGAGACTGTAAAACCTCCAGTCAGAGGTGGTATTTGCCAGTTCTCCAAACTACTCAAAATTTCCGCTACCAGTTCTCCAGAACTGATCAGAACCTGCTGAATACCACCTCTGCATTAAGCCCTCTTCCTCCCTAGCAATTTATGATATTTTCTTGCATCATCCAACAATTTAAAGCCTGTCCTCATTACTGTTTTATTGGCACAATAGTTGAACAAAACTAAATGTTAAAAATTACTAGCAAGGAAATTTCTTTAAATTAATAAACAACTGTAAATCATATAGAAATGGGATGGAACTGTCAGGTACTATATCAAATATTGTTGTATCAATAAGAAAGCCATATCTCAATCATTGTTGAATGCCAACTATGGCTACATGTTGCCTATCAAGACCATCAGTACATATTGCCTATAAAATGCTTTACAATGCTGCAGTAGAATACCTAATGGTGTTCATTAGATCATTTATCCAATCAGACAAAAAATCATTTAACCTAGAAGCTTGTCTACATTAATGGCTTTCAGGTGTTCCAGGAAATGAAGAAACAGAGAAGAAAGACAAATGTTTTCTCGCTGTATTTGCCTTTAATCTGTATTCAAAACCATATGCTTCTGAAGACTGAGTCTCCTTCTACATATCAAGACTAATCACCATTGATAAGTTTTTTTTTATGAATGTGCCTAATCCATTTTAAAGCTATGTTTTCTGAGAAATGAATTTCATTCAGTTCAGTGAAGCGTGTTCCCATGGAAGTGAATAGCACTGGAACTGAAGTGAATATATGTTTATTACATTCCATCTGTCAGACTCGGATATACCAACCATGATGTGAAATTTCAAATGCTGTAGTCAAAGTGGATATGAATGTAAAATATAGATATGGAACATACATAATATCTTCTCATGCTGAAGATATTTGGATAATATTTTACTTCAAAACTTGTGGGTAAGAAATTTGGAGGACAATTTGGATATAAATATATTTCAGGTCTACCTTCTTTGTTGCAGTTTCCTACCATGATAATATCAAGCTCCATATTATCCATAGAATCGGAAAGAAGCAAGAATGTCTCCAATTGAGGTGTAATCAGATTACAATGTGCCTTCATTAATGTGCTAACTGCTAAATATCTACCTATCAAAAAGTTTAAGAATATTGTATATATTGGATTGAACCAAATTGCATAAAGTAGATATCTATGTTAGGATTAAGTGCAAAAAAGTTACTACTAAGGAAAAGAATAAGTCAATGTTCTAGTAATATATACATGTGATATATATATATATATCTCACACACACACAGATATATATATATATATATATGCGCCTGGGTGCACATGTATCATAGTATATAATGCCTAGCCAAGAAATATGTTTTGAGTAAAATGTTTTGCTCTGTTCCATGGTTGAGCATTTCTCTATTTCTTCTTGTTATTAATGCTTGTTTTTCATTAAGTTTAAAACTAATAAATTCATACTTTATTCAAAAATACTGCAGTTGTGACATGTTTTTGTTTTTACTTTTCTAATTAGACATCTTTGGGAACTTTTAAAGTAATTAACAAACCAAAGCTGAAAGTCAAGCATTTATAAAAAAAAGTCAGTAAACAGCTCCAAGTTCATTCATTGAACAAAGACAGACTCTAGATCTAAATCATATTCCAAGCTCAATCCTTGGATTAGAAGTCAAGATATCAGTAAGAAATAAAGGTAAACAGCAAGCTAAGTTCAGTTCCATCAATTCCTTAAGCAGAACCTAAAATTATTCCATGAGTCAGGAGTGGAGAACCAGCAGTCAAGTGAATAGGAATTAGGAAACAGACATTCTGAACAAAATCCATGTTCCAGTGGCAATATAAGATTGTTAACAGAAAACAACCTCATGAATACAGCCTTGCATTTTTGCCACTGCTTACCACAGAATTCTCTCCTTGGACTCTCTCATTCTGCATGGTGTTTTGGCTTCTATATCAAATTCAGGCCTAGAGTAGTCAGTCTTGTAAACCATATGACTCACCAAACTCCACTTGCTTCCAGTAAAAACTTCAGATAACAGATAATCAGAGTTGGAAAGGACCTTACAGGTCATCTAGTCCAACTCGCTGCCCGAGTGGGAGACCCTACACCATTTCTGGCAATTCTGAATGTCTCAAGTGATGGCGCTCCCACAACTTCCGAGGGCAAGCTGTTCCATTGGTTGATTGTTCTCACTGTCAGAAAGTTTCTCCTTATTTTCTGATTGACTCTCTCCTTGTTCAGTTTCCATCCATTATTCCTTGTCTGGCCTAGAGGCGCTTTAGACTTAATTTCTGAAGGTTCCATTGGTTTGCCTAACTGAATCTGTCCTCTGATAGGTCTCCTAGGAAGAGACTTCCTGACTTGCAAGGCAAGAATAAGCATAGTTGATTAATTTTGATCAAATCATAAATCATGCTTTGCCTCACAATATGGAGAATTGCTTATTTGATCTTTATTCACATAATATCAACCACAATACTTGTATTCTTTCTAGTCCCTGAGAAGGGTTTGTTTGAAGTACAAAGTCTGGGTGCTGAATAAATGTGGATTGAATACCAAAGTGAGTGACTAGTATCAAATAAAAACTGAGATGATTTGGTTATAAAAAGAGAATGAATAACAATGGTTTTGAGAGAAAGGAAAAGTCAAATGCAGCTTTGCTCCGCATTAGGAAGGCTTCCATTGAGTCCAATGCATCAAGAAAGACATCAAGCCGGTTCAGTCTTGGATGAGCAGCCCCGAGCACGCGCTCAGGGAAGCCCTTTTATTGAACAAAAAACATCACAAAAGAGAGTTCAGCCTACTTTACATGTTAAAAGGGTTGGGGGTCTCAGTGGATATATTGTAGCACCCAATCACAGTGCTTAAGGGATACAAAATAACCAATCCGCGCCTGCAGTCCAGCCAGTAGCCCAAGGTGGGCAGCATCCTTTTGTTCCTGATACCTGCTTTCAGCCTACGTGAGGCCTTGCAGGTATCGAAGATTCCTTTGCCTACGTGAGGCTTGGCATATATCAAAACTCCTTTGCCTACGTGAGGCTTTGGCATATGCCCAGGCTGTTAGATGTGGATTCGCTGCTGCAGTCAAATAAAGTCATGTTGGTAAAAGCAGACAAGTTGTAGATAGCAAAATAGCTGGAGATGAGTGGATGAAAGATTTATCAGTGATTGAATCACAATTCAGACAGTTGCCTGTCTGCCAAAGATATCCTTTGGCATTTCACAGCTCATCTTTCCTTCAGCAAATGCCTGACTAGAAGTATATGTTGCTCTTCTGATAATTAATATTGTTGTAAAATAGATAAGATTATACAATAAGCTATCTGTGAAACTTGCTAAGTAATTATTTCTAAGTCTACATATATCATATATACAAAGAGAAAAAATGAGTCATGTAATTAAACCTCCTTGTTGTTTTTTCTCTAATGACATTACACCTACTGTATGTATTCCTACTAAAAATAAATGATCCTTGAATTGATTGGTCCTTTGATTTCCTGGAATTTCTAGCGATTTATCAGAAATTTTGTCTGGAGATATTCAACCTCATTCTTTTTTAGCCTCACTTCTTTTCCCAAATTCCCCCTTGAGTGTTGTTTTCAAAAAGGACTCAAATTTTCTAATTCCAGTTGAGGGAGGGACTGGAATAAGATGACCTGGTATGAGACCAAACACCACATTTCACTCATAGATATGAACTCTATGTCTGGCCTATCTGGTATGTGAGTTGGCTGACTATGAAACAATGACACTTTGTCTGCATTTTGTTTTTACTTTGCTGCTCAGATTACTTTTATTTACTCTGCTGGTATCCATTATTATTATGATTGACATATATACATGTAACCAAGGTGGCTATGTTTGCACAAAACTGTCACCAGCCCCATTTCAGCCATGAATGTTCTTGGGCACTCTTTCACCTCAGCAGCATGGGGTGACATCCACTGTTTATTTTCAATCAATGGTATCATGCCAATCAACCTGATAATTATGTTTGTTCAGATTTAGCGAGAGAGAAAAACCTATCAACAAACTATGATTTATTCCAAGTGAAAATAATCATGCCATTGAAAATGCTTCTGCAAATGGAATCACAAGTCTGTTTCTAACCACGTGAAGGAGGAATCCCTGGATGCATTCATGGACCAATTGGGAGTGATTAGTGGATGCATTGTACTCATAGGCTCATTAGTTACTGGTCACTGACTGGCTAAACTATGGAACATTCACAATTTTAATTTTTCAGAATACGTTTGAAGAACAGGAAAAAAGACAAACTATGCAATTAGCATGAAGAAGTGATACAGAATAAGCTTGACATAGAACCATTGGAAAAGATTCAGTGGGATGGAAAAGACTGAACCGGCCAAGACTGAAGGACCTGTGAGAATTAGTCAAAAAATAAACCTTGAAACGTCTAAGTAGGTAGATGAAGAAACTTAAACTTAGGAAAGAAACACGAGTAAGAGACAAGTGAAAAAGTAAACATGCATCATTGGACAGAACTGTGCCTTGACATAGTTTTCTTTTATATGCAAAAAAGCAGCAATTGGACAAAATTGAAATTGCTTGTATACATGAATTTACTACTATTATAAATCCACATTACCAATTATTTTCATCCATTTTGCCACAGGGCAAGTTCTATATATATGTGGAGAAGTCTGCTACTGTTAAACCTACACTGAGCTTTACTCATGAAGACTGTGGGAGCTGACGCAAACCTGTACATGTTATTTATTAATGGCCTCCATTAAAAGAGAAAAAGCCTCAGCTAAATTGTTCAAATGGCTGCCCTGTTTTAAAGCTGAAATAAATTTAATTCCGTTTGCTGCACATAAAATGAAATAGGTCACTACCTTCCCTTCAGAAAGCTTCTCCCTCCCCTCCCCCCATGGAGGGCTCTTCCTTCGTAGCAATTTGCAACGTCTGAGTATATAAAATTCTACACCTTTCCATTTGGGATTTTAATTATTTTGAAGAAAGCAGGAAATAAACTGAAGTGTGCTTACGTGTTGCTAGGTTTCAACAAAATGCCTTTGACTTGGAACTGAAATGGTACACTTGCACAGAGTCCCAACATATAAAATGACATTTCTTTTCTCTGCAAGGCTGAGTGACCCACTTATTTCTGTCCCACGCTCCTGCTGAGAGATTTAATATTGAATGGAGACAGAAATTTACTCAGGCTCCATTCAAAGATTTTTCCCCCCCCGTCTCTCTTAGAAGATGCTGTCCTAGTTGAATCTTGCACAATTATACAACCTGAAGTTTTGCTTGAAACACCAGAATGCATTTCTTCTCCTGGCATAAATTTTTTTTTTTAAACAACAACAATTGCAGATTAGAAGAGTTTACTTAATGGTTGTCTGGGCTCTACCACAGCAGAACAGCTGGGTTCTTGCAGGCTATAAGGATTATTGGTTGCTTTGCAGAATATAATCCTGTGCAGAGAAAGATTAGGAAGGCTATAGCCTTTTGCTTTTGGATGTCTCTTTCAACATTTTTTTTCAGTGTCAGAATTTATTTTTTATTTTATTTTTATTTGTCAATTGCTTACAAGATAATAGGTATAAGTAAAAACATAGTTATGAATACATGGATACATATAAGAAAAACAAACATATCCAGCTTGGCACAGTTCCATTGCCATTAATCATGGATGTGTTTTCAGTACAAGGTTTTTACAGTTACAGAATGTTTACCCATCTCTAGGTAGGCCATGCTAGCTGATCTTCATGGTGGAAAGCATTTGTCTAAAACTAACGGGGATGTGATACAGTCCTCAACCCACTCTCCAATACCGACTAAATAAACATAGTCACAGGAAGTATTTTTCAGAAGCAAAGAAAACACCAAAGTATTTTTCAGCTCATATGTATGTACAGGGGCCTCACACACTGTGCCACATGTGAAAACTGTTAGCAGAATTCCAAGTGTTTTTCTTAAAAAATGGTGAGATTATAGCATGCAAATAAAATATGTATTGCAACCACATCACCTCATTTAAAGGAACATAGTGCAGTATTCACTGCAGTAAAAAAAAAATCATTATTAGGAAATAGAAAAGAGACATTGTTGTCGGGTGTCTTGCAAGATTCTCTGGAAGTAAATATC